GGATAAATTATTATTTTTGATATTATATTTTTTGTAAATTACTTTATCTAAGAAATTCTTCTTGAATGTGAGGGTATTTGCGTAGAAAATGGAATCAGTGAAATGTTTTTTTAGCTTTTGGAAAAAAACATGAATCCAGCTTCCTTCATTTGTTAGTTAAACAGCAAGATAGACTAGGCTCTCTTGTCTTAAGTGGTGACCAATCTAAGAGAAGGAAAACTCAATTCAAAGTATTGTAAACAATAGAGCAGACTGAACTCTTTAGCCTTGACAGAGCAACCAATATAAGAGAAGAACAACTTTGAATTTAAACCAACCTGAAGAGTGAAGGCTCCTATCAGGCCATATTTTCTAACTACACCCATTGGTGCAGTAAATAGGTTATTGAACTTACAATCATTAAATTCTTAGATATATAGGGAGTGATGGATAAATTATCATCTAAATTAAACAAAAATGAAAATAACACTGACATTTCATTTTAACAGATATATTTACCAAAATTATACAAAAATATCTTGAAATACTAAAGAGTAAATTTATACAATAAAATTACCATTGGTTTCAACAATGCCCTCTCAACAACTTCAGAATCTCCTGCATCTCTTCTGGACAGTCTCCTTGTTTAAGTTGGTGAATGATGTCATAATCCTGGCTTTCAGTTCCTCTTTGGTGTGACAAGGAGTTTTGTTGGTCTCTCACTCAACTGCTTAATAAGCAAAGGGGTTGCAGTCTGGGAAGTTAGGTGACCAGATGTAAGGGGTGATGTGGTTGCAGAAATTGTCTGATAGCCATGACTAGGTTCTCCAGCTTGTGTGACATGATGCAGAGTCCTGTTGCCAGACATAGGGTCTTCCAGCAGCCATCTTCTTGACCCAGGACAGCACTACTACCTCAACGCACTTGATGTAGGCTTCCATGTTGAGCGTAAGGCATTGTGGGAAGATGAATGGTGGTATAATGTCACCATCACTAGTGTTCTCCAGACACCATGATGTAGACTGGATATATCATCCAACTCTTTCCAAATCCTCTGCACTGTCCTCAGATTGACACCCAAACACTCTAAATTGTTCATACTGGAGCTTCTGGCATGAATGCCAAACAGCACAGCATGCCGTTTCCAAATTTCTTGTGGAGTGAATTGGTTCATGGTGCTTTTTTTCTCACAGATGGTGCCCAACTGATTCAGTTGACAAAATCAAAAATAAACACACATGCACAAAATTAAAAATATAAAATGGTGACAATTTACTCATCGTAACCTGTATATTTTTTTTTATTTGATAATCCGCACCATTTAAAATTAAATTAAATTTAAAATTGCAAGGTCCTGACCAAATATTGTCTGTTTTAGTGAATTAAATTGCTGTCTCTCAAGTGAAACTGGATCCATTTGTTAATCAAGTTAAACAGCAGCTAAATTTCTTGCAATTCCCACCATTGGCTAATTGCAGGAAATAACTTAAAGCTAGCAGTAGAAAAATAAAAAAAAGCATCTTTTCCTCTTGCCTTGAAGATATTGGATGTCTAATTCCTGTTCTACAATTTGTAAAGAATTGATTTTTATATATTTTGGAAGTTGGCGGGAAAATTAAAATATTGAAAAATGCTGTACTTGATGACCCGTGATACATGCAACAAAATATGATGAAAACTTCTAATGCTAAATTCTGTTCTGTCAGTGCAGTTTCCATAGACTTGTTAAAGAACATGTTTTCACCATGTTTTGTTGCATGTACACTTGTGGAAAGGGATTTCCAGTCATGAAATAGAATATAAATGAAAAAAACGAAACAAAATGGAAAAGAAAGAAAACAAAAAGAGAAAATCTGAAACAAGTTTGACAGATTATAAGTATTTGCTTGCAAGATTTGATGAAAATAGCAATAACTCTCAATTCCAGCCAGAAATTAAAGATGTTATTGACTCAGTTCAAAGCCAATTATCTCATTTTTGTTATACTTGGTTCAAACTGTATTACTGTCCCTTTTTGTTCTCTTGGTCCTAAAAATAAAAATAAATACTAACAATCAAATCAAATGCAGAAACTATGACATTTGGGCTGCAAAAAGTTGAATAGCACAATTCTAAACATAGAAAAAGTTTTTAAAACCCACTATGTCAGTGTTTCCTTGTTATTTCTTAATTCAATTTTTATTTTTTCTTTGTTTGTGCTGAAGATATGCATGATGGGTGCTGAAAAGTTCTTTGTCTGACCCACTTTTTAAAATCTGACCAAGCATCAAAAAGATCTTTTCTTAGTTGTACTGTCATACATTTGGGAAGGTTGACATATTTAATTTAAACTGAAATATTTGAACCAAATCTTATTAATACTCTATCTTCTTAACAAAACCATTGAGTGTTGATCAAGCAAAAATCCATTTGTATGTGTGTGTGCTGTACATACATGAAAAAAGTTCTTGAGCATGAATTTATAGAATAAAAATATTTAGTCCACTTGAAGAAATATGACTCTCTCTATATATATATATCTATTCATTTTGTATCTAACTTCTTAGACATTAGGGCTATTTGTGTAATTACTAGTATTAGTAAGAGTATATTATGAAGCATTCTTGAGAACTTCTGTGCAAATTTTAATCAAATTTGTTATTTTTCAGGGACCATCAAGAAATAATTTAATCTATTTAGGGTGAGCGATATTGTTTTTTTTTTTTAAATTAATTAACTCACACACAAACATGTTTATATACTCTCACACTTGAAAACATACATATAAACATATTCAAGAATTTCTAAACATACATGTCCACACACTTTCCCTTTGAATGTTAATGTATATGTGTATATTTATCCATGTTTATAAAGAGACATATTGTTTGTCTATATCTCTGAGATGATGTATTATGATTAATTACATTATTTACATTATTCGGACTGTTATCCTCATCTTCATTGCCATATTCACAATGTTTCTTTTCTAAACCATGTCAGATTTTATTATACTAATCAATGTTTACACAATTGATATTGTACTTGATGACCATTGATACATGCAACAAAACATGATGAAAACTTCTAATGCCAAATTCTGTTTTGTCTGTGCCGTTTCTATAGACTTGTTAAAGAACATGTTTTCATCATGTTTTTTTGCATGTACAATTGTGGAAAAGGATTTCCAGTCATGAAATAGAATATAAATAAAAAAAAAAAAACAAAATGGAAAAGAAAGAAAAGAAAAAGAAAAAATTTGATGTTGGGAAAATTTTCAGGATATATTTTTATGATAAATATACCATGTGAATTTTAGTATAAATTGTTTTTTAGAACAATTTATAATGATTTATTTGGTAGTGTGAGATTTTATTATGCAACTCAAGTGTTGTTCATCATATTGAAAATAAATATGTATAATATTTGTTTATTTTTTAATTTCAGAAATATAAAGCTTGTCATGAGTTGTAAGAAATATATTAACTTAAAGAGTAATAAGTGTTTTTGAGTGATAGAAACACAATGTTGACAACTGGGAAAGAATTGAACATTGTTTAGGGAGCAATCAAAAAAATTAGAAGCATTGGCAAGATAACCAGAAAATTCTGGCATTAAAAATATCACAAAGAAATTTCAGAAATATTAAAAGGGTAATTGTGGTAATAAAATAAGAATATCCCATCTTTCCTCTCATATGTAACCATCCACTATAATAAAATAAACCTTTTCAATGCTAAAGCTGAATTAGTCAAATAAAGCTTCATAAGCTTCTACTTAGAGTTGTTGTTATATTACAGTAATAAGTATAAAAAAATTTGAATTGGCAGCAAAAATATTCAATAAAGCTGGTATTTTAAATGTAAACTAAAAAGATAGAGAATGCTAAGAACAGCAGTTAAAGATATAAAAACAATGAAACCTTTAAGTAAACATCATAAAGTGAAACATATAAGTTAGATGAAGTAGATGAAAACTGATTTTTTAGTAGTAATTTTTAGTGATGTATGTAGAGCTATATTGGATTGACCAGGTGGTTGGACTAGTTAGATCTTTCATGGAAATAGCAACTAGTGACTTGAAAGCTTTCAATGCAGTTTTTTTTCCTTTACTTACTGTATTTTGTCAAAATTCTCATCTAAAACAAATTTACAAATTAGGGACCAACAAAGATGCTTTCTTTTATCTTCATTTCACTTATTCTGGGAAATTTATTCTGCACATACTTGAATACTGTTTTTGTTTTATCCATAGCCTTTACAAATTTTTTCATGAGATCAAGCTTGATGTGAAGAGGTGGCAACAAGATTTTCTTTGACTCAACTAGTGGTGGATTCTGAACATTTTACCTCCCAGGAAATAGTGGCCAGTTTTTCTTGATGTAATGAGAACTATCTCAGCTGTCCCATTCACAAAGAAAACAACAGTACTTGGTATATCCACCTTGCAGTCTTAGCAAGAGAGTAACAACCTTCAAATCTCCACAAAGTTGCCAGTTACATTGAACATAGTTGCTTCATCTTAGTTGTTGTTTCATATTGTCATAATTTTCTTTCATGTGAACTGCATGACCAACTGGGATTGAAGATAAAACATTACCATTGTGTCACAAAATAGGTTTGAGACTCGTCTTCAAAGAATCAATGGACATTCTCCATTCCTTTAGATTGTAGCTGTTAAGTGATTGCATAAGATTACTGATACTATTACAGTACACCAAATAATTTACCATAAGGAAGAATGGGACTAGATCCTTGTGATGATCACAGAAATGAGAAATCCATACATGACCAGCTAATAGATTCTATTGCTGTAATCTGGAACCTAACAGTTTGGCTTTATTCTTAAGAAGTTCCAAATCTCAAAGTCTTTTATGTCACTGAGTTATGAGGTATGATTCAGAGATGGCTGTTGGATAATAATCTTGGTCATTTGAAATTGATGGTTGAGACTGTGAGGGTTCATTGTTTTCCCTATCATCTGACTCAAAAGTGCTTCTGGGACAGATATGTTTTCACTATTGAGAACAGAATGCAAAACTGATGGAATGTTTGGATATTGCACTGTCCATTTCTTTTTCTTTAACAGCAATTGGAGATACTGTGATCAGTTGGCTCTCTCTCCAGACCATGGGTGCTGCAAATGGCATAGATATTTTTCTTCCTGGTTAGGCATTGACTAAGTTTTTCTGCACAGTTATTACAACATATATGTGCCAACTTCTTGTCTTTGTCTCCAAGTTTACATCCAAAATACAGTTGGTAAGCTTTTCTCACAGTAGGTATTATATATTGCTTTTGAAATGCAAAAGTCACTTCCCCACACATATAGCAAAAGTTATCAGCTTTGTTCAGACATTCACGGGCCATTTTTTACATGTCAGTTAAATGTGCGAAAGCCTGAGTGGAAAGGAGAATAATAATTAGTTTATTAGGAGAATAATTATATAAAATAAGGTTATTAGGAGAATAATAATTAATCTAGCAATGACAACAATTTTGATGAAATATTCATATAACACTAGTACCATATCTTGAAATCTAAAACCAAGCAACAATTTTGGATATCATTTTTTTATTTCCAGTGCCTCAAAATTAGCTAAGATTAGCTATTTTGTTTTTGAAGCTTTCATTTTGTAGACCAGTGATATCATATATTTTCTAAAGCCTTGACAACACATCACAAATTAACACTAGCCTATCAACAAATTTGAATTTGTATATATATAACAAATTTTGATGAAAATAATAAATTGACTTTTATTGTTGTAAATCAAATTAAACTTTTATCTTAACTAAATAGAACATAAAAGTTAATATTGAATTAAAATGTTTTTATGTTCGCATTAGAATAATACATTTTGTTAAAAAAGAATATTTTAATTCAACCTTATAATACATTGTCAATGTAATCATTAATTATTAAATACACATTTAAAAATTTTCACTTTTAAAATTTTATTCATAATATTTGTAAATCAGATTCTTTATGTACAGTTTCATATGGCCTCATTAAGTTAAACTGTTTTTAGTGAACTCCTATTTCTGTTCTTAATTTTGTAACTTATTTAAAAAAAATACTCTCAGTCCTACTTATTAAGAAGGAGATTAAATTATTTTGCACTTCCTGTAACAGATTAGTGATACACTAAACTGACTTGGGTTCTTGAATTAACCCACAGTACTGGAATGTTACCACTCCTTGCTATAATTTCAGAAAGAGAAACTAAATTCTAAATTAAAATCATCATTCTATTTGTAAAATTTTAATGGAAGTATTTATCAAATTATTTTTATTTTATTTTAAGAGTTATAACTCTTAGAATAAAATAAAAATATGAGTAAATATTAAACAGTGGATCAATGGCTGAATATTTTCCTTTTATGTTCAGCTTAAATAGGTGTCACTAAAATTATGGATCCAGAAGAATTCTTTTAAATATTTTAAATTTCAAAGACAAATTTAGAATCTTGTTGCCGGAGTATGCTGGTTGAGTGTCTTGGTCGGAAAACATGTCTCCTGGTATATTTCTCCCAAAACAAAATAGTGGACTCAAAATGTAAGTCCGGGTAATAAAATGTAAAAGTAACAAGTAAACTATATATATAAACAAATGATAAGTATGTATTAACAAAACAAAGGTATACATAGACAATAGAACATTGTTGCTTATGACAAAACAATGAATATGAAAGAAGAAAACATTTAAACTAGTGAAGGTGTTTGTGTAGAAGTAGTTTGGTATAAGAGAAAGTCCTGGAAAAAAAATGAAGTGAAAGGTGCATACATGTGTGTGTGTTTGCATTCTCCAATGCAGAAAGCGGTTTCCTCATTCAATCTACATCTTACTGTCCCTGAGTGAAAAAGGAAAAAGAGGATGACAGAGAATGTTACTGCCTATTCATAGGCTTAGGGAGTGTCCCCTAGCAGTGTTTTTTAGGAAAGTAAGTGGGGTAACTCTACAATATTCCCCTCCAGATGGGGGAGAATTTTATTCTTCCTATATGTTCATAAAGTTTTTGTATGTTTGTTTTGTTCCTCATAGACTGAAAAAAAAGAGTCAAACAATGTAGTTACAATGTGTATTTAAAAATATTGACAAAAATGTACATGTCTGAAGTACTGTGCCATCAGGGTGCTATATAATTCACTAGTTGTAGCACACCATGGAAGATATGGTGCTAGTGTAGAAAAATAGTGTTCTGTGTTGGGTATTAAAATTTTGTTGTCTAATGCTCCATGTTCAATTGATTTTGTTTGGAAGACCTCATTTTGTTTGCTGTGCATGGATAATGTTGGCACACAAAATTTTAATAGAAGAAGCTTCGATTTGTAAAATTTAACCAAATAACAAAGAAGAAAAGGAAGAAATTTTTAAGGCAAGGGTGTAACAAAGAAAGATTTAATAATAGGTGAACTTTCCTGTTATAATTTTTATTTGAACTGTTTGTGAAAGATAATAAATTCTTCTGGAGGTTTTTAAAGCTGGAGTATGGAATTTTATAAGCCTTTCACTTATGTATGAAATATGTATCTCTAGTTCAAAAACTGACTCATTTAAACCAATATCCTATTCTGTTAGACACATTAGTTTTTCCTGAAACTTAATCCCTGTTCATAGTGTTAATCAGTTATTAAAGATAATAAAATCTCATTACTTATTAAATTTTCTAAAATATGGTTTAACTTCATCATTGTCATTTTACTTTAAAAGACCTTTTTCTAAATTGTAATTTACATAAATTAATTTTAACAATTAAAATTTTTAAATGATGTTTATGATCCTTAATATTAGCTAATATTATATATATATATATATATATATATATATATATAAAATTACTCTTTACTACAAAGTGTGATAAATTATGTATCTATAAATACATCGATAGCAAATACAATTATCTTTTGTAGATCTTACCAGTTTTATTTCGTCTTCTGCTGCAACTACAACAACCATCATTCTTCCTTAGTTCGATAAGTGAAGTGAGAAATTTGGATCACAAAACAAAGAAGATAATGTCATTGAATATTCTTGTACACCAGAGATCACACTTACAAACTACATGTAAAACAAAACTTTTCTGAATTTTGGATTTTGTTAATTCTGCTGTGAAAACTTCAGATTTGCACAAGGCAAAGTGATACAAAATTAATTATAATAGCTAAACATTACAATATAACTGACACGAGGACAGATAGAAAGGATTGAAAAATTCCATAGCATAAAGCAAAAATGGGAAGAGAAACAACTCTCCAAGAGACAAGAAACTAAAGAATAAATAATAAAAAGAACATTTGAAGAAAGAAACTGAATTTCTGTTAATGATAACTTAGAATGATTCCATAAGAACCAATTATCTTATGGAAAAAGATAGACAAAACATAATCTGTAATAAGAGATAATAGTATCAATCATATCATAAGTGAATGCAGCAAATTGACTCAAAAGGAATACAAAAATAGGCATAACCATGTAGGAAGGGGGATCCACTGGGAACTGTGCAAATGATTGCAATGCTATATACACAAAGTAGAATCTGTCTTATAGAAAAAATAAAACAACAGTATTCCCAGTTCGAAATTTGAACAGGTCATCTAAGCAAGGTCAGAAGATGAGATCTGATCATTATTAATAAAAAGAAAATTTTTCAGTTGATTTTGCTGTTCTAACTAATCGCAGTAAAAGTGAAAAAAAAAAAACCGAAAACTTGGAGATATATCTAGACTTTGTGAAAAAACTGAAAATATTATGGAGGATGAAGTTGTGCCACTCATTAATGGAGTACTTGGGACAGTCCTGAAGTACTTTGCAAAAAGGCTGGAAAAATGGGAATTCTAAAGAAGAATTGAAACCATTCAGTTAATAGTTTTATTCATGTCTGCAGGAATACTGAAGAAAGTGCTGAAATATTAAGGAGTTTTTCTTTCTTTTAATCTCTCATGGAAGTCACTAGTTATTTCTGATGTGAAATCTATGCTATATATTCTTTGTTGTCTTTACTTTAACTTTCATTTCATTCTGTTTAATTAGAATATTCTTAGATATTTGTAATATTTTTCATGTTCACAATCCTGATTTCATTGTTGGGTAACTAAATTTCTTCTCTTATTCTCTGTTTTCCTTTGTGCATCACAAGAATCCCAATTTTCTCAATTACAAATTCCATTCCAATGTCTTAGTTAAAAATTCTCTCTGTTTGGATGAATGTTTCTAATTCATTTTTATTTTTGGCAAATAATATCAAGGAATCTACATACATGAAATTTTAAAAGTAATGAATATCTTTCCCCTTTACATTGCTGCAAAATGCAATGAAATGATATTAATGTTATTAGAGAAAATAATGGGAACGGAAAGTCTCCTTAAAAATATTCTTTTTATGCTAAGAGGAACTCTCTTCCTACATTTATCTCTATCTTGTATGTCTTCATTATGTTAGCACATGTTCTGAAATTTTTAACATATCAAAGCATTCCAATATCAATATTCTAAATAGCATAGGCTTTTTGTAATACATTCATGCCATTGCTAGATTATAATTCCTTGTTTTTATATAATAATTTTTATTTCATAACTAATGTATGATGTAATTATACAGAAACTATGTGGGTTGAAAGACATGATTAAATGCAGTAAAATTTATAGTTAGAAAAAAGTAAAAATAAGAATTGCTGGTTGCACGATTCTGTTCATTTAAAGAATAGATATTATTCAGGATTATCAAAACTGAAGTCAAAAATATTTTATTAAAATTTGAATACCATGTGGCATTACATGTAGTCCTCATGAAAGTAGTAAACATGGTGCAGTTTCAATTCAATGGTGAGTTTATATTCTTCCATGAAAGTCATGAATGGTTCTTAATGGGTTTTAAATTTCTACTTGCTCAAATGTGAAGTAGATTAAAAAGTTTTTGACAGAATTTCTATAAATTAGTGAATCTATCAATAAGATTTTTATAGGAAGCAAATATTCTGTAACAGTGTTTTCCTGTTAAATCTTTCAATGTCTTGTTAGATTTTTAAAAATGAACATTTTTAACTAAGTGGTTTGCTAAGTCAGTACATTCCATTTTTTGTTAGTTTCCACACTTGAGATAAGTGATTTGTTCTTTTAATGATTTCCTTTAGATCAATATATAATGCATTTGACTGCAATGACA